ACACGAATATTCATGGCCAAAAACCCGCGCATAATTTACCTGTGCGTAGCCACTACTGTCAAAAAATGAATGGTTAAAATCAGACCACACACATACATATACACAAAATGCATGCAAGAATAAATATAAATTAATCAAAAGGCAAAAAAGGACCAGTTATCATTTATTCAACATGTACATGTATTTCTTTTTATATGGTAACCTTGTCATTGTTGATGAGTTGAAAAGAGTGCTTCTCTTTATATAAAAGATAGTGAGAAAAAAAGAGACATCAAAGAAGAATTGACTTTTTTTTTTTTTGTAATCAATTTTATTCATCATCATCATCATCATCATCATTATTTTTTGATGGTTTCACTTGGTACCTAACTAAAATAACTATTTATCATGATTTCAAGGCTGTAACAACAGAATAAATTGATCAACAAGCATCACTCAGACTGATATTACACACATAACGATTCAGTAGTCTGCATTTTATAAAAAAGTTGTAATGAGCATGAGAAGGAGAACTACTCTTCATAGATGCTATCATCATAAATGAATGTAATATAATGTTTTTGATGTATTTTCCAAGGAGACAAATCATAATGAATAATAAACAATTTTCTATTTTTTGTTATTTTCATTGTAATAAAATTTTTACTAATATATGCATCAAAAGTTTGTTTTGTGTACAGATGAATTTTATTTTACCACTCAAACATTTGTTTTTTTTTTGAATATTTTATATTAAAATAAATTAATTGTCTATTATAGAAAATAAAAAAAAAGACACAACAACAATATTGAAAAATATATATATATATATATCTACAATAAGTTATTAATATATTTTACTCACCGTTTAGTATCATGATTTGAATAAATCTGTCTATTGCCAATGTAGAAAAAAAGTAAACAGATTTTTTTCTAACGCTCTTGTACATAGCTTGTGTTAGATATAAAATGAGATACTATTTCGATTTTCTGTATTATATATATATACCCTATTTATCGATGTTATCGTTTATGACGGGCTTCACCGTGAGCCTATAGGTATTTTTTTTTCGCCTATTGTTTATTTCGTTTTATTTTTTTTTTATTTTTTTATTTTCATCTGTATCTTAATACTAATCACCAAGCATCAACCTCCTGTTCATTTATATTATCAATATAGCAGTAGTCAAGTATTTTGTGTATTGAAAATGCTTGTCATAAATAATCAAAATTTACATGAAGGTCACTTCATGGTTGATTGCTTCATACCGCAATAGTTATGTGTGTATGTGTCATGTAACTGCTCCTTATCATTGTCATTCATTTTTACCTTGATTGAGCAACTTCTAAATTATGCCAGTCTAGGTCTTTTCTCTCTTCCTCTATAGATATATATACTTTGTTTGATATCAAAAAATGTACTACATCAAACATTCATTCAGTTCACTACAAGATATTAGTAAGTGCATACGAATGTTCACCGTCTTTTTTTTTCTTTTTGTCTTTTGTAAACTCACATAATGATTTATTATCTATAATACGATTCCTTGTCTTGTATGTCATCAGTTATGACATTGGTTTTTCTTATTGTCAGATATACTAATCAGTCATTGACAAATCAATTGTCATTATCAATAAACCAAAATCACTTGAAGGTTTGCTTTGATTCGTACGATAAAATCGTTTTCTTTTTTGCACTAAGAAAAACAAATTTTTTTTTTTTTTTTATTCTACTTTTTTCTTCTTATCTGCAATAGAATGGGTAATCACACAAGTCAACGAAAGCAAGACAATAAACATAAAAATAATAATTTAAATCAGTAATTATAATTTTACATTGTATTTAATTACTAGTCTCTTTTTTTTCTTTTGTTCAAATAGATATGGAACAAAATATAGTCATGATGCTTCTGGTCGAAAACCTGCACCTTATTATGGTCCAGCTCCAAGTAAGATAAAATTATATTATATTTTTAATCAATATTTTAAATTAGATTATGTTTATCCAACAACGGAATGGACTTATACATATATTCCAACAGTAGCTGCAGGTCGTGCAAAACGACCTGTCATTTATGTTGCAGCTCCGTTACCTGCTGCAAGTCAATTTGGTGGTTTCGGTGGTATTTGTGGTGGTGGTGGTGGTGGTTTACCTTTTGGAGGTGGTCTTCCATTCGGATTCGGAGGTGGTGCACCTTTCGCAGGTGGTCTCCCATTTAAATCTAATTTTTCACGACGCCGTTAAGAGGGTAAAGTTTTTCGTCGTTGCTTAAACTCAAAAAAAAAAACAAAACAAAAGAAAGTACAGATTTTGTTCCGACCTATAAAACATTGATTGAATTTTGAAGTCTTTTTTTTATATTTGATTTTTTATTGAATTTTATATGTCAACTTTTCTTTTTTTTCTTATTATGAAAAGAATTTTTTCATATATTGTAAAGGAAAAAAAAGGAAAAGAAACGTTTTGTTTTTTATATGCAACTTTTAAAAGTTTATTGATAATTTGCTTTTTGTTTTATTTTAATTCTTTTTTGCGTTATGTTTTGTTTTTCTTTGTCAAATTATTATTTCAACAAAACATACAAAACAAAAAAAAAAACTTATGCTAACAAATATTTGATTTTAACGTTTTTTATGTAAACATGGTGCAAGTTTTATTATTGATTTCGATTTGATTTGTTCAAATGTTTTAACAAAATCAAATGTATAGAAATATTTTGATGATGATGATGATGATGATGATGATGATTTATTTTTATCATCTAATGAATTTGTTTTTGAACATTGAAAACCAATTGATTCAATTTTTCGTATAAATTTTTGTGGTTGATTTTCAAAACGTGATGCTATTTCAACTATTTTCATTGTACCACGTAAACGAAGAATACGATGAGCTTCATAAATAAAATCATTTAAATTTGTACCCATCAATGATAAACAAAAAATGACAATATCGACAGAATTTTTATTTAATGGTGTATGTGCTATATCACATACTTGAACATATTCATTTATTGCAACTAAATCAAAACTATAAATATTTGGATGTGTAGATTTAAGTGCACGAGCAAGATGTGCATCACCACAACCCATATCAACAATAACAAGATTTGATGAACGTTTACGTATATAAGCAATTATTTCATCTAATGGTTGATCAGGCCATTGAGACATACTTGTCTAAAAATAAGAAATAAATAAGAGTATTGTCTCTTTTTTTTTCTATTTTTTGAATGAAACTTACAGAATAACCTTGATGATAAGCATAGAAAGATTGAGGATCTTTTTCAAACATTTGTTGAGCTTCTTGACTTGTTGATGTATATAATTTTTCATTGAGATAACGAAAACGTGATGTTATCATATGTGAAACAAGTTTATCACAAATTGATGGTTTAGATTCTTGAGAAGATTTTTTTTTTGGTGGTTCATTTTGTTCATCAGGTTCATGTTTACGTTTATTTGTTTTTATTACATTTGGAATAATATCTTTTAATTCGGGATGATTCATTACATAATATTTATTTCTACGACTTTTTTTTGGTATTATAGATTGTTTTTGTTGTTGAAGTTCTTGATTAATATGTTTTTTTAATGCTAATTTTTTTTTATTAATATTGTTATTATTATCATTGTCATCATCTGAATCATCATTTAATATACGTTCTTCTCGTTTAAGATCGCTTGGATTATTATCATGACGTGGTATACGTTCGAAACTTTTTCTTTTCGATTTCTTTTTATCAAGTAATGATAATTCACTATTAGCAAGAATTTTTTTTACTTGAATATGATTTTTATTTGTACGTTTTTTATGTGGCATCTAAAAAAAATTAAAAAAACAAAAAAAAATTATATTCTTGATTTAAAAAATTTAATATCGTTATCCAAAGATTACAAGATACGCATATTAATTATAAAATTTCATACTAATATATATAGATAAGATTATCTTTTATTTATCTAGTTAAAATATCTTATAGAAACATATGTGTGAAAAAAAGTGATATTCCGGTCTTTAGACTGATTTATATTTCATTTCTTAAGAAAAAATTCTATTTGATATAGACAATTATAGAAGTAATTGTCCTTAATCAAGTTTTAGAGATCTCGGAATTGGAATTAAGGCAAAAAAGAAATAGTAGAAAATGTTTCTAAGATCGAAACTTTATATATTGACTCTACCAATTTCTTTGTTAAGTGTATTCGTGATGAAATTTTTATATTTCTAAATTATATAGTTCATTTTTGTAAATCTTATATTCAACTGAATTCAAAAGATAACGTCCTTGTATTTCGAATAATACATCAATTTACAATATGTCCTTAGAATGGTAAATGGTATGCATATTAATAGATTTTAGTGGAAAAAAAAAGGTTTCTTTGATTTCATCGTAGTTTTCTTTTCCATATAAAACACAAATAGCATATAAAGTCACAGAAATTAATCACTAAATATGTGTTAAAATAGTCTTTTGTTATAAAATAATTAATTTTGTTCTATAATAAATAATATTTGAGTTACATTCAATTGAAGGTTAATGAAAACAAATTACAAGAATGTGATAAGATTGTCAATGAAAAAAAAAAAATTATTGATGTGTAACGATACATTATTTCGACGTTTTTTTATTTCTTCACTTTCATCATCATATCTATCAATCATTAGTGACAAAAAAATTGAACGAGGTATATCATTATATACCATCAAATAAATTTGTTTTTTTTTTCTTGTCATAAAATAACAATAATCATAAAAATCAAATGTCAATAGAATTTTAACTATATGTATATAACAAAAAAAAAAAGAAAAAGAAAAGAAGAATAGAAAGGATTTATTAATTAGAATATGATAATCAAAGAAAACAAAAAACTTATGTGAATGTATATAATTTGGCTCTTTAAATAATTTGAAATATACAAAACAATAATAATTAATAAACCATTATCGAGAATATGAAGATAAACAATATTCCATAATAAATTCACAACAAAACAAAAAAAAAAATTTTTTTTTGTTTTTAAGAATTATCTAATGATGATCTACTATCGGAAAGAAGTCGTTGTGTATCATTAACAAATCGTTGTGAACTATGCCAAAAACCATAGAAACCATAAATGAGAAAACCTAATCAAAGAAGATATAGTTTATCATTTCGAAAGAAATCTATTATTGAACAACATACCAAGAAACATCCATACACCAAATCGAATCCATGTTGCTGGTGATAATTTGAGAATTAAATATGTATTAATTAATATACTCAATATAGGTACGTAAGGTATACATGGAGTCTATTAAAAAAAAAATCAATCAATTATAGAAATAAATTTAATTGTATAACTAACTTCAAAATAAAGTGATTTTGCATTTTTTGGTTGTCGTGCAATTGCAACAATAAAAAAGATTTCTGTTAGAAGAAAAATTATAAGAAAAATTATTGCTATTGGATCTTTTTCTTCAAGACGATGTTGAGCAAATATTTGTATAGCAGAAAGAATAAAACCATTAATAACTATAATTATTATAAAAACAAAAATAAATAAATAAATAAACAAAATTTCTAAATATTTACTTAAACAAGTAATAAGATATTTAGTTAATCTTGCTGATACAATCGTTGGATGTAATCGAAATGGTTTAAATAATTGTGTATAAATTGATTGTACAGCTCGTTCATCATTATTTACTAATTGATTCTCATTAAGTTGATAACTATAAAAACAAAAATTCTTTTTATTGATAAAGGAAAATAGTCGATAATTATTGAATTTGATTCCCTCTTTTCTTCTATGTCAAACTATCATACCAGATGTCCAAAATTGATCTCTAATAGAATTAGTCATCTAGCACTTATTTATTCTGTGCATGAATCAATTGAAATAGCCAACAGTCGTCGCATATACATCGGCTCGTGATATCTATTCATCTCATTAGTGACCATCTCAAGAATAATCTCCATGAGATTTCTTTGTAAAGCCCGTATGTTTTTCCTCGATATGATAGATTAACATAGAAGAAAAGAGGAAGTTAATTTCAACAGTTATCGTTTCCCTTTTTCCATTTACCGTAAAAATAAAACAGATACTGATACAAGTGAATAAGCAAGTAATGTTCCAATTGACATCATTTCAACTAATTTTTTTAAATCAAATAGTAATGCCATGATTGCTAGAAACGAAAAAAAAAAATATAAATATTAAAATAATTGATTTTTGTTTTGTTTTACTATACATGCTACAATACCACCAAGAACTGTTGCTACCATTGGTGTTTGTAACCGTGGATGTATCCAAGCTATAAAACGAAATATTAATCCATCACTAGCTATTGCATATAATACACGTGGTAAAGGTAAAAGAGAACCAAGTAATGCGGTAAAAATACCTATAGCAAATTTATAATAATTTACACAAAAAAAATATGATATTGAACAGTAGCGTAGCCAGGAATTTTTGAATAGTAGGTAATTTTTCAGTCAAGCTGTTCATTACTTTAGAGCCTAGTAGTTCCGAAAAAATCGAACCGGAAGGTGTGAGTGTAGATAAGACGTACACCCACATCCATCGGTTGCAGTTCTGGATATTTCTTGGAACGACTGGCCTCTAGATCAATTACTATTGAAACACTGTGTAATTGTCACTAGTATAAGAAATTTGGAAGCAATAGCTCATGACTGGCTACGCTACTGATATTGAAAACATATCAAACAAACCAGCTAATGCACCAACACCGATTATATATTTAAAGGTTGGTAAATGAACATATTGAAAAGCTTCAGGTAGAACAGCATCAGGATTGATTAGATAATATGGAACCTAAATAAAGAATAAATTCTAAGAAGAATTTCAAAAAAACGATTGAGTAAGTGAAAAGATCTAAAAACTCCAATAAGACTGCTTGGATGAGAATGTCTGGAAACTCCACTATAGTTGTCGGAAATTATTTGATTTCATGAAACGAACAAAAATCTAATAGAATGTCAGGCCTTACGAGTCTATTTGCTTATTCCTATAAGTTCATTTTCGAAGTTCACAAAAATTAGTTGAGTCAATTATTTTATCGAGTGGGCACTTCTTTATAAAATATTATATTAGACTAAGCTGTAACTTTCACCTCAATGTAACCATAGATACTTTACTAAGAGCTTCTCTCTATATAAAATGTCTTTGGGTCAAAAGTTGAAGTGATCTATAGGATAGCTTCTGCTCTATAATCTGATAAATTAATAAAGATTTCAATTTTTTCACTTTTGAGCTGAAATAATATAAGGACAAAAGTATAGAGAAAAGATTTCCATCCAAACTAGTTTTTAGACCTTTCAAATATTAGCTTATTAGTCTCAAGAACAACTTGACAGAAAAATTCTAAATGAACATTCCGAAAGAGCACTATATTCTGGTTATAACTCATATCTTTTGACTTATCGGGAATATTTTTAAGGTAGTCAAAAAATAAACAAACATTTTTTTTTCAAAACTTTCGGCTCATCCGTTAAGACAATTTTACTGTAATCATTCGATATTCTTTCTATTTTAATGTAGACTTTACTTTGAAAACTTTTAAATCATGAAGATGGCTTATAAGATAAGTAGTCTCGCAATCGGTTTTAATTTCGTGAGTTCTATTTATCGTATAACATTCTCATTCTTCTTTACACACTTATATCTATTGCAATTCTAATAAATTTCTTACCATTAATGTAACAACAATTGATACAGCACAATAAGCTATTGTACAAATAAGTAATGTTAAACAAATAGACATTGGAATAGCTCGTTGTGGATTTTTAGTTTCTTCACCTAGAGAGGAGAACAAATAAACTTATTTTAATTGAAATAAAAATAATTTCTTTTACCAGTTGTTGCAACAAGATCAAAACCAACAAAAGCATAAAAACATGTTGCTGCACCAGCTAATGTTCCTTCAAAACCAAATGGAAAAAATCCACCTTTACCAATAATCTTTGTACTATTGGTTATATTTTCTACCTAATAAATTTAGAAATATTCACAATCAATTTTCATTAGAAAAAAAAAATATCTACTTCATTTGGTGAAATATTCCAATTATGTTTATTAACTACAGTTAAACCAGCAATAACAACAGTAACAATAACAGTAAGATTAACAGCTGTAAGAATATTATTTAATACTGCTGATTCTTTAATACCAATCACCAAAAGAACTACAAAAATAAATTTTTATTTAATTAAAAATTTTTATTTATTATTATTTTTTTTTTAACTTACGAGTTATAACAAGACATAAACCCATAGCAAATAAATCTGCATATTCTGAAAATATTCCAGAATGTAATGGTAAATGTTGTATAAAATAGGTTCTCATTGCAAAATTAATTAGAGAATCAAAATAAGAACTTAATGCTCGTGCTGTACTAGCGGCACCTAAAACAAACATTTTTTTTTATGTAGTAAGACTATGTCAATCAAAATCAAGTTTTGCAACAATAATAATGACTTTTCATATGAGCAAAAGATCGATTCAAAGACAATCATCGAACAGTAAACGGTAAAAAAAATGTCATCAACCCTCATTGTTGCTTTTATTTTGTCCGTAATTTCAGATTACATAATGTTTTTTACAATAAAGCAAATGGCATTACTGAGAACTGTTTCAATCGAGAAATGATAAGCAGTATTAAGGTCATGTTTTCAGGGTATAAGATCTTATATGTACCATTTTTTATCGTGCTGATTTAATCTATCAATTCTCACTAGCTACGTGTTCCTACTTGGAACTGGATCGACCGATTTCACAAGTATTTAGAGCATTAAAGCTTGTCTAATTTGCTCGTTTTTATTGATTTCTACGGCATTAACGATTAAAAAATATAAGCCAAAAACAAATTTCTATTCGTCATCAAAATCTCAAGTCTAAATTCTGAACTCAACCTTTGTTACAGTACAATAAGGATCTCGGATCATGCTCAATGTATTGATTATGATCACGAAAAAGTAGTCAGTCATTAGAAGATAAATTCAGTTTTCCATTTTGCAATTTCGAGTTGAGTTTTTTGAACTACTTGTAACTTACTGTCAGAAATATTCGATAGCTAGTAGTTGTCAGTTCATACTTTCATTACACAAATATCAAAAAAAAAAGTTTTCCTTCTATTGTCATATATTAGTGTATATGGAACGTGTCAGAGTAAAACAATAGTTGTCTTCATGAGAAATTTCAAGAGTTATATGAATTTCATACTGTATGTCGTTTTCTCGAAAGGACTAGTTCGTTAATTGAATATATTAAACAGACCGATTTGTCGTCGGTTAAGTCAAGAAAACTCTACCAATTCCGAAGTATGTTCATGTTATATCCTATATATATGCTTTTTATAATGATGAAATATTTAATTTCATAAATAAAATTCATACATAAAAATTAACATATAAAAACTAAATGCGTAGTATGTCTATGAAAAAAACAATAATTATATATGAGAAAGTACAATGAAAAAATCTTGTAATTTTCTAATACAAATCTACAACGTTCAAGGAGGATATATGCTTGAATTAGAAAATTATTGCAGCCGTCTTTAACATGTTCCGATATATACAAGCTGCTTTTTTTTATATGAAATGAGTGAGATAAAGATTGAAGTATCTGAAATACAAAAGAATGAATCCTCTGATCTCAGCACTGGATAATAGGACTATTCAATGAGAAAAATGTTCCCGTTTATGGAGAAATAGAACAAAAAAACATAAACATATATCTATTCTTGTCTGTACATTTGAAATTTAAATAACAGCTACTGTTTTTTTTTAACATATTAGTTCTCTTCTATATATTCTAGAGGAATCGAATAATAAAATTATTAAAATAATGAAAATTACAACACAAGCAAAATTATCCAAAAGAGAATATTAGCAAGTATTATATAATAGCAAAGCACAATCATACGAATAGATATACAAAACTGCTAATGTTGATATATTCTTCAATCTTGTATTATTTTTAGCAATCCTTTTCTAATATTTGCTTTTATATATTTATTTGAACATTTATAGAATTCAAGCTATCATAATAGAAAAATAAAATTTCTGTAAATCATATCTTAGATTTATTTCTTCAGTATACTATTTCATAAAAAGGAAAAATTAGATTAGATGCTCAATTTAGTTTATGAAGGAACTAATACTCGCCATTTAAATTCATATTGAATCTACAAGCACACAGTAGATAATTTCTATCAACTACATGATTTATTTTCTTTCAAAAACGAATTTTTTTTTTCATAGAAATATTAGTTTCTTGAACTCAAAAAATAAGATTGATGAAAAATGACTAGAAGTTTCATGATAATTATTTTTATTTCATACCACTGCTATCTCAATAGGAGATGTCACCTGTTGAGTATTCAATGATTTGAAATAGAACTTCATAATACACACACACCATTAGATAGAGCAAATCGTTCTCTACAAAATTGCATATATCTTATGTATGGATCAAAACTTTATAGTCGCCTAAGAAAATCCCGAAGATGAAACCTTATCCTAAACTGTAGTAAAAAAAAAAACTTTTTATTGTAAAGTAAATTATTCGATACAGTTTTGTCATGCTGATTCCAAATATGTCTTTATTTTTCTCTCACAGTGAAATTTGACCTGTTTTTCTACGATTAAGTTTTTCCAATGAATTTAGCGACTGAAAGAAAAAGTTTTTTTTACTCGAAATATGATTGTTAATCAAAGTGTATAAGTTACTATTGAAATCTAGAAAAAGTTCATTTTCATTTCTTTTTTGCACCTAATGTCCACGTTGTTGCTCGCTGTCAATAAGACTAGCAAAAGGATTCGTCTCCATAAGCCTTTAGCGTCGATTTACTGGATTTTCAATCCAGAATGTTGACTATGAGAATATCTTGAAAAAAGAGTCATTAGACCTATCTTTATAATGAATATTTGGACATTAATCATTTATTTCCACAAAAACTATTGTATATTTTTTAAAATTTCAATCATTTTTGTTTCTAGTAGAGAATCTAAAATCTAATAGAATATTTTCAAAGAAACATTGTTTCACAATGTAAACGATGATAGAATCTATATGTTTGTTTAATTTGAATTAACATACCTATAATATATTCTAAGATCATATTCCAACCTAAATAAATATAAACAAACATCAAAATCAAAATTTTAATTTAATAAAATTTCCTACCAATAATATACGCCATAATTTCTCCTACACTAACATATGTATATGTATAGGCACTCCCAGCACGTGGTGCTCGTGCACCAAATTCAGCATAACAAAGACCAGCAAGAACTGAAGCAATAGCTGCGATAAGAAAACTAAGGATCACAGATGGACCTGCTGTTTCATGAGCTACTTGACCAGTAAGAATATAAATACCTGTTCCAAGTGTCGATCCAATACCTAAAAGAAGTAAAAAATAAATTCAATAAGAGACTCAAAAGAAAATAATATATTATCTAACCCAAAATAGTTAAATCGAATACAGTTAAACATCGTCTTAATTCAGAAACATGTAATGTAGTAGTATCATAAGTTTTTTTTCGTGTTAATTTATCATATAATGTATAAATCACACTTGTCATTTTATTTATCTTGTTCAATTATTTATTTTAAACTAATGATAAAGATATAATAACTATAAATATTTCAGTATAAATGTAGGTTCTATTGGGCTTGTGATGATGAATGAATAAACAGTAACATTCTTATCAATATATCGAAAAAATAAAATCGATAGACGAAACAAAATAGATTTTTTGTTGACAACCAATCATACAAATCCATTCATTTCCAATTTTTATGTTTTTGATTATTAACCACATAGAAAAGACAACAAAAGATGGCGTTATAGATTTTCCTCTCACTTTATTTTTTCTTGATGGTTTTAGATGAAAGTAAAGATAACAGTAGAACAAAGATTAGTAATAGAATAAAAATATCAATAAAGTGAAAAATCGAAATTTTCAATGCAAGAGTAATTTACGAGAGAACTTTATCAAGTGGTAAATCTCTCGCGAGTCGAAATTATATGAATCATGTGTAGACTCTAATGAGTTATAAATACCCTGAAAAGAGTTGAGATTCTGCATTTTTACGGTATTTTTTATCACAATATTGTGCTTCCCCCGTCAGAAACACAAGGAAAAGTGATTTTCGAATTTCAACTTGAAACCTGCACGGCGACAAGCCTAAACGAGAACAGTTTAGTTTGTATTTCAGGATAGGAATATTGAAAAGATCGGAAACTTTTACGATAGACTATTGTCGTTAAGACCTGTCGCTGTACAAACTTTCAAATCGAAATTCGAAAATTAACTTTTCCGGTGTTCGAAAGTGGGCCACTGCATTGTGGTAAAAAATTGCAGTAAAAATACAGTGTCTCAATGGCAACAAGCTAATAGTTTGAATTCTTTTTATCAAATTCATAGCTCATTTGATTCTACATAATGTACATCGTCTCGAGTCAAGAGCGATTTATCAGTTGAGGATAGAGCCCGTCGGGTTCGTCCTAGACTCAGATCCGATAGGCTCTAGTCGTCTACGAAATATGTAGGATACGCAAGTCATCGAATAAAAAGAATTGGAAAAAAGTATCTTCAGAGCGGCTTTCCAATTCTGATTAGAAAATTTCATCGAGAGTATCAAAGTACGATTCGACCGGGTCCGAAAATTTTGGACTCGAGTTGAAGGACCTCTCGTCTTAGTTGAAGCATATTTTAAACTAATAGTGAACATTGACTAGTAGTTTATACAATAATGTAATTATTTTCTAAATAATTCACATCTCTTTAAACAAAGTCCTTTTTTTAAAACAATACAGTCATATTCCAAAATTGTCGAAAATTATTCAGGAAATAACTTATGATTCCTTGTTCATATTGAATTATGAATTGACTCTTCTCTTCTATTTTTTTGTGTATATTTACTCTGAAATAGTCAACAATAGAAGTTTTAATGATTATTATTCTTTTTCATTACACATAATCTCTAAAAAAAAAAGAAATATTTCCGCTATCACACTATTATGATAAAATAGAAAAAATGATTAAGAAGTTGGATCTTTCATTGCTCTTCGAGAAAAAATTGCTACGCACTTCTCTAACTTTAAATGAATATCTACTAATTTCTGAAATGTGTTAAACTTAGTCTACTAGACAATTGTTAGAATATCGAATTACTATAAAGAAATCTCGTCTCGTTTGCATGCTTGTCGCTCATTGTAATGTATATATATACATGGTTACTAGCGACAGTTGAATTTTTTTGTTATTGGTCGTCATTTAAAAGCAGAAATTACCATACATACAGCATATAGAAAAAAAAAGAAGTAATATTGCGATCGAAGTAATTAATAATTCTAATGAAGAGAGAGATGTTTTATTTTAGATAAATGTATAAACTTTTTCTTTTTTTAGTATATATAAATTTATCATTTTCATGATATGACTTCTTTTTGATTGAATGAAGCATTGTCTAATATTGATAAACTTCAAAAAAAGCTAAATAAGATTTTGAAAATATGACTTTTTTTCATATTTTAGATGCCACCTGTAGGTGCTCGTCATTTTCCTCAATCGACTAGTCGACATTCAAGTGGACGAGATTATCGATCATATATTCGTTTTGATGATCGATCTAGACGTGATAAACGTTATGAAGTATGAAAACTATAGAAAAATAAATAAATAAATAAATCAATTTTGTCTGTATATATAGCAAAAACGAAAACGACGTAGTAGTTCTCGATCGGATCAACAACGACGACGAGATAATACTCAACGTTCATATTCAAAAACATTTGGAGATAAAAAACGACGAAAAATTGAAAGTGATGAAGAATATGATGATTTATTAAAAGAAGAAAATGATCCCGAAAAAAAATTTCGTTTAATTTTAAAAAAACAAAATTCAATTATCAAAAAAACATTAGCAAAATCAGTAAGTAATTTAGTTCATTATTATATAAATTAAATCATATTGTTTTATAGTTTGGTTTGAGTACATCTAGTCTATCGAAGTTATTAGTCGATAAATGTGATGAAGCAATCAAAAATTCAATTATATCAAAATCTAAGTAAGTTCAAAAATATATTAAAATATACATGGAACGTTCTATTATGATACTTATTAAAATTATGTTCTTTATGCTGACAAGGCAAATGCCCGAAAGTGATTAACTACTTTTGGGCACATAGATGGGACCTCTAAACTAGAATAACTCTAAAAGGAGTCGGATCCATGATTCTTATGAGTTGAGATATTGAATTTTCAAGTTTCAGTAGATAAGAAAGATTTTGATTCTTTATTGCGATTATCTTGAAAAAAAAATGTGCGGTTAATTAGAAACTTCATGATAAACTGGCTGCATCATTACTGTGAAATTTTCAGATTTTATCTCATTTTTATAAGCCATAGCCGTTTTCTTGAAAATCCTAGATCGAACAAAATAAAGTTTTATAGATATCATTTTTTTAAAAATTCTACCATCACACTGAAAGACAGCAGATATCTAATTATGATAGTGATAAGTTTCAAAGAAATTTTCAAAGCAGAGTAGCTTGCGACAATCATTGCATTGAATAAAGCATAATAAGCGACAGTTCGACATTGAAGCAAGCCTTGTTGAAAGATTCAAACTCTCCTGGGTACCGATCAATATATTCTGACGCGAATCATGCATAGTTGATCATACTATCAACGACCAAACAACTGAGAATCGTGCTTGGAGCATACTAAAAGTTTTTATCACGGTGTCTAAAGGATCTTTTTGGATAAGGGGATCTATTGAGAACTGATAAATCAAATATCCAATGTTGTAGAGCTTTTTGAGACGCGTCGAATGGTGTATAGTAAATCCTGTTTTCATAAGACTTTAAAGGAACTAGAGTCAATTTACTGATAGACAACTACATATCCACATCAAAGCATGATAAGTTTCTGAATATTGTGATCCTTGGTATTAGTTGAAAGTATTTGTAAAGTATTTTTTTTTCACATACGATTTTATAGAGTTTTTGACGGACTACAACGTCCTATATGTAGCATCTCCGGTCATCTTGTCAGTGTGGATGTGTAGTTATCTATCAGTAAATTGACTCCAGATTCTTCAAAATCCTATGAGAACAAGATTTACTATATACCACTCGACGCACCTCAAAAAGCTCTACAACATGGTATATTTGGTTTTTCATTTCTCAATAGATCTCCTTATCCGAAAAGAATGTGCATTTTTTCACATGACAGATAAACATGTAACTTTCGTTATCGAAAACGACTTTCTTTTGCTCAGAAGTGATTGTATATCATTCAGAAAATAAAGAATTTTTCGAGGAAATGTCTTGCGCCATACATCTTTCAATATACTCTCGTGCTCTGATATTAAATATACCTTTGGAGTCTGAAAAAAAAAGACATTTAGTGGAAAAATTGTTGTATAATTCAGGAGTGTTTATGCTAACTATAGTGATAGAAGACATAGAATAGAATATTCTAACGCAATTTGAGTAGATTCGGACTGGTATTAAGGGGAGCGCCTTCGGAAGAAACCTTCTGGGTTTCTTCTAATCTCAACAGATTCTACGTAATGACTAAAGTTTTATCTCAAACACAAGATATTACCTCGGCTAGTTTCCTCGTAAATGCTAAATTAATATATTTTAGAACACAATTTGAACGCAAACAACCTGAGGATTCTGAACCAATTCAAACATCACGTGTTGTTACTGATGAAGTAGAAAATATATTTTTTATTTACAAAAATAAAATAAAATTCTTTTAAAATTAGGTTCATTTATGTGATGAAATATCTCGTTCAGATGTTGATGAAAGTGATGAAGTATGATATTGATTGATTATTTTAATTAATATTAAATTTACATCTTTTTCTCTATAAAAGGCACCAAATAATGATTATAGTCAACAATTTGTAAATATTAGTCAAAGACCACAAAATTATATTCGTGATGCTGGTTTGAATATTTATCTTTGAAATTAAATTCTATGTTTTATTTTATTTCTAATGATTAAAATAGGTCTTCAAAATCGTTTTGAAGAATATCCAAAATTACGAGAATTAATTCGTCTTAAAGATGAATATATTGATAAAACAAATCCACCACCAATGTATTTACGTTGTGATTTATTAGCAAATAATTTTACATTATCATCACTTGAGTGTGAATTTGATGTTATTCTTATTGAACCACCATTAGAAGAATATAAAAGAACAAGTGGAATTCATTTTGATCGTTATGTTACATGGGATGAAGTAAAAAAAAAAAAGAAAAAGAAACCATTTCACATGAAAAATATTAATTGTGCTATTTTTTTTCATTGAATAAAAAAAACAGATAATGAAACTTGATGTCGAATCAGTAGCTGCACAACGATCATTTGTTTTTCTATGGTGTGGTTCGGCTGAAGGTTTAGATCAAGGAAGAATGGTAAGACAAAAAAATCAGAACAAAATACAAGAAACAAAAGTAATTGATATTATTATTTAGTGTCTAAAAAAATGGGGTTTTCGACGATGTGAAGATATTTGTTGGGTAAAAACAAATCGAACAAATCCACGATCAGCTCT